ACTGCATTTTATTTTTAACTCCTTCTTCAAACTGCAAATCAGCCATAGTCATTTATTTTTAATTCCTTCTTCTAATTGTATATCAGTCACAGTCATGTTTCTGAATTGGGCAGCCACATCAATCAATTAAACAAAGCTAATTTTACCTTAGGTAAGTGTTTGTAGGTACTAATGTTCCTTTGGTAAACTGAGGCTCCATATCACCCCTATTTAGGCCATTTGTGTTCTCTGCATGGATAGGATTACCACTAGGAAATCTGAGCTGTAGACTAGACTGGACATTGAAAAAACACCTCTGAAAAAGTCAATGACAAATCCCTTCAGCATTAGTACAACAAAAATATGAATATGTTCATGAAGTCCTCAAAAGTTGAAATTAAGGGAGACTTTTGCTTTTGAAAAATCTTTATCTGCATGTAGATATGTCTCAGAATTGCTATGTGAGATGGGTGGTCTCCAAATTCAATACATAAATAAAAAATATAAATAAATCTTAGGGATGTTTCCCTCTTTCACACCTAGGGGGTATTACCTATTAACTGGCCTACAGAAAAAATACTTGGAAGGAGAGGGAAAAACTTTGTGGTAGTTTGAAAGGGTGGCATATCCATTTTAAGCAATGAAATAAAAGAATAAAACAGGGGAAGAGTAAGACATAAGCCTACACAGTTGAATGCTTCCTCCCCGCTCCCCAGAGCTATCCCTGCTAATTTCCCGAAGAAAGAGTTCTATACAGAACCATGTAATTAAAATAAATACCATTTATGTGACCTGTAAGCTATTTATAAAAGCTAGTAATCCTAAAAAGTAGAGTATCTGTATTAAAATTTGAAATCAATCAACGAGTAACATTTACAGATATAAACAATGAGCCCCTTTAAACTAAATTGATTCAGCATAGAGTCCTTATTTTTATGTTTGTATTTGAGAAGCTTGTGATCTGCAACAGCATTCTGGGTTTTGCTTTTTTCCCCTTAAAAGTAATCAAAGCTGTCCCATAGCCTTCTTGGAATTGTAACAGTTGGAAGGGGCTCCCATTTTAGCCTACAAGGTTATGATGTGCTGCAATAACATGGGACAGCAGCCATTAAAACAAGCCACATCTGGCAACTCTCTCTGTAACCCAGAGCAAAGAAAGCTATGTCCCAATTCTGTGGTATTGCAAAGAGCCCTTTATTCTCCTCTGAGTTATTTCCATCTATAAGCCTCCACATAAATGCACTTTTGGCAGCTTGTCTGAGCTTTCTCAATTGGCAGTCTGATTATTCGTTTGTGTTCTATTTTTTCCCTCAAATTATTCTGAGTCACATCCTTATACAGACAGTTGAGATTCTAAATGGTACAACTCATGCACTAGTCCCAAGGGGCAAGGAAAATCACATTTCTGGGGCTTGAAATCATGGGGAACAGAACTTTATTTTCTCTCCTTAAATTATCTTTCCAAGTGGTCACAGGCACAAGAAGTCAGAGCTACTAGATTTCTATAGAACACAGGGAGTCTTTGACTTGCGACCATGACTGAGCTCAACATTTCTATTGCTAAGCGAGTTTAAGTGAATTTTGCCCCATTTTACGACCTTTGCCACAGTTGTTAAGTGAATGACTGCAGCTGTTAAATTAGTAACATGATTGTTAAATGTATCTCGCCTCCCCATTGACTTTGTCAGAAGGTCGCAAAAAATGATCACATGACATCGGGACACTGCGACTGTCATAAATATGAGTCAGTGGCCAAGCGTCCAAATTTTGATCACATGACCATGAGACTATGTTGCAACGGTTGTAAGTGTGAAAAATGGTCAAAAGTCACTTTTTTCAGTTCCGTTGTAACTTTGAACGGCCATTAAATGAACTGTTGTAAGTTGAGGACCACCAGTACGGTAAGCCTTGTTCACTGCAAAATGCAGTTCAAGGCCATAATAGATACACTGACTAAGAGGATTCTAGCCAAGGTTGACTGAGGTTCTGAGATAACCACAAATGAATATAAACATTTGTCTAAAATGCTTTGAGCAAGGAGTTTGATCTAGCAGCTAAGGCACCCAACTAGAGGCCTTAGTTCTAATCTCCTGCCTTAGGCGTGAAAGCCTTTGGGCTAGGCATTCACTCCCAGCCCAACCCACCTCACAGGATTGTTGTTGTGGGAAATTAGAGGGAAGAAGGAGTATTAAGTATGTTCACCACCTTAAATTACTTATAAAAATAATAAACACATGATAAAAAAAATCTAATTTTTTTTTTTAAAAATGAGTGGTCTGAGGCCCCTTCCATCAGGATGAATTCTGATAGCCTTTTCTCCAAACTATTATCTTACATTTCATACACACAGTATGGGATGTGCCAGCTGGCGCCGTCTTGGTAACCTTCCTCCATCCTGCATACTCCTTTAAGCTATTCAAGCTGTTCTCCAAAGCACCTGAAGGCAGGACAAAAAGCAATGGATGTAAACTAATCAAAGAGAGAAGCAATCTAGAACTAAGGGAAAATTTCCTGACAGTTAGAATAATTAACCAGGGGAACAACCTGCCTCCAGAAGTTGTGAATGCTCCAACCCTGGAAGTTTTTAAGAAGAGACTGGACAGCCATTTCTCTAAAATGGTATAGGGCAGGGGTATGAAACTGCTGGCCCACGGGCCGGATACGTCACACCAAAACCGCGCCCATCCCATTGCCGGCTATGGGGAAAAAATCGCAATATTTTGCAAACATGTCACGTGACGTTGCAAGTTTGACACCCCTGGTGTAGGGTTTCCTGCCTGAGCAGGGGATTGGACTGGATTACCTCCAAGGTCCCTTCCAACATCATCAGCAGCAGCAGCAGCATCAATATTATTATTATTGTTGTTGTTGTTGTCAGATTTGTTTCCAGTTGGTTTTTTGTCATGAAATTTTTCTGCTGTGCTTTAAATGCCTACCTGGCAAGTCTTTTTTTTCCCCCATCCAGGCATGCATGCATAGAAAAGCATCCCCTGTTGAATATTTTCTTGTCAGAAAAATGCCAGAGCAGATTATGTCAAGGGCCTATTAAGTCAGAATTTTATTCCACACTGGTAATTTGTCTCCCAGAAAACAGTATTTGAAGATAAGTTGACTCTGATATATTATGTAAAGCTACCACTATCACTAATCAGCAAAAAAGTTACTTTCCATAAATTTAAAACCATCTGAATTAGGGCTGCTGTATTTTTTTTTTTACTGGTTCAGACATCACATTAAGTCATGCTTTTTTTTTAATTTACATGCTGTATGTATCCAGCCAACTGTATTTTATTCAACAAACATGTTTAAGCAAACTATAACTTAGTGTATTATGCAAATTGTTTTTCATTTTCTCCCTCATCTATAAATTATATTTCTTGTCCACAGATTGTGCTACCACTTACTCAGGGCTTTACACCATATATAGGTTTGGTTCACATCAAATGCAAAGCTGTAGTGGAGTTTGTTTGGCTTTGATTTAGCACATTCTTTTAATCCGAATATTATTGTCAGAAATAATTTACGGATGTCTTGTGTGAACCAATCTAATTGTGTTATACCAGGGGTAGTCAACCTTGGCTCTTTTATGACTCGTGGACTTCAACTCCCAGAATTCCTGAGCCAGCTAAGTTGGCTCAGGAATTCTGGGAATTGAAGTCCACGAGTCATAAAAGAGCCAAGGTTGACTACCCCTGTGTTATACAGTAGCTTATAAAATAAGCTTCAATAAGCTATATTTTAATGGGTCCTATAAACCCAACCTGACGTCTTTTGTAGATGCTTACCTCACATTATTTCGTGTTTTTCTCTCACAAACATTTTGCAGGCACTGCGTAAATACAGAATGTGAAACGGGGACAGAATGAGCCCAAAAGGAGCTGCATCTTTTTTTTCTACAGTACTCTGTTCAAAATGGCTCTGACCCTGACTAGGGCTTTTCAGATGTCAGTTATTTTTTAAACTGTAAGGAATAAAATGCTGCTAGTAGAGCAGATTATCTTCAGCTAATCAGAGTTGATCAGAAAACGGTAGCCTAATGTTTTGTGTGACCACCATCTTATTGTATCCCAAAAGGCCAAACTGAATCCAGACCTGCTGGGGTGCATACTGAGCCATCACATTCTGTATACAAACAATGCACTTATTTCCTTAACTGTCTCCAGGCATATTCAACATTTCCTTGCCTCTGTATTTTGGCAGCTGACGGCACAAAAGAGTAAATGATCAGTTTTCACCCTTAACACAGATTTATTCCAGGCCTGAATTTCTATTTTCCCTTTTTGTACATTATACCTTATTTCTTATCTTCCTTGCATTCCCGTATTATTTTTTTATATATTCTCCATAGGAACAAATATATAATTTTCTGCATCTGTTTGATATTTTTCCCATCACATTGAACAAGCTTCTTGGTTTATCCCGTATCATTTCCCCCCCCAGGTTACAAACTCTTATAAATAAATGTAGCTGTGTAGTATTACTTATGAATCTCAAAAATGCGGTGGGCATTTCACTACACGTCTCGGATTGACATTAATACTGTATAGGCTTACAGCGAGGGATGGATTATTTTATGGAGTTTCTCTGCATTCCAGATCCTTCGTTTGCTGTTGTACTAATCCAGCCGTTTCCTTTGTATAGGCATACATAATCAGATCTGGCAAACCTCTAAGCTTCAGACTGCACAATCCCTAGCGCTCATTTGGAAAACTAAGCATTTCTAAACGCTGCGCAATTACACACACGCGCGTCATGTGAAATCTCACATTATCTTCGCGCAAGCACATTTAAAAAGAGATAGATAGAGAGAGAGAGAGAGAGAGAGAGAGAGAGAGAGAGAGAGAGAGAGAGAGAAATCCCTCTCCTCAAAATCCCTCTCCTCGCTCGTCTGCTTTGTTCCGAGCCCTACGAAAAACCAAACCCACCTTTATGCAAACTCAGCACAGAGGGAGGAGGGGAAAGGCAGTGGGCGGTCCCTAAGTTCCGGCAAGACGCACGCGCGTCAGCTCCAAGCCCCTTTGGGCATGCGCGGGAAGCCATGTGTCACGTTTGGCGAAGCTTCACGACTTTTGCGGAGGTCTTATTTTTTTCGGTGAAAGCTGTTGCCGTTGGGACTCCCCGGAGGGGAGACACCCTGAGCAAGTAAGAGACTCTGGGCGTGGGGGAGAGGAGAAAGGAGGGGGGGGGCGTCGTGAAGCCTGGCCCAGAATTGTATCGAAAGTGTGATAATCATAAGTGGGGAGGCAAGTCAAGGCAAGTTTACTATGAAAAATTCAGCCCTGAAGCTTTACCTAGAGGAGGAGAACAGGTACCTGTGCCATGCAATTGGGGGGGGGGGGAATAAACGGGATCTTTGTAGACGTTAGTTGTCGGGACTGATATTCCAACACGTGAATATTAGCTGGAGAAAACGGGACAATCTCAGGAAGAACTACCATTTGATTCTCCTGCTTTTTATAAGTTGGGTGTAAGATGCCAGAAGGAAGGGGGGGGAAGGATTTACTATCATTGATCATGATCAGGCTCTTTGAAAATAAGATTTGTGGCACTCTATACGTGCTCTTTATTCTCGCATTAATATCTTGTTTTTTTCTCTGAGACCTTAAGGCAACAAATAGATAGGTTTCCTTTCACTTCACTTCTATCACAGTGTTTCTCAACCTTGACAATTTTAAGGCATGTGGACTTCAACTCCCAGAATTCCACAGCCATTGCTGGCTGTGGAATTCTGGGAGTTGAAGTCCACATGCCTTAAAATTGTCAAGGTTGAGAAACACTGATCTAGAATAACCTTCTGTAAGGTAAATTGCGGGTTGTGATTGTAGCCTTAACAGCTGATGAGCTTCCTGACCAAGTGGGAATTTGAATCGGTAAATCTAAATCCTCCATCCAAATCTTAACACTTCCGTCATGGTGCTGCTACAGGTAGTCCTCGACTTATGACAATTGAGCCCAAACTTTCCATCGCTAAGCAAGAAAATATTTAAGTGAGATTTGCCCCATGTCACGACCTTTCTTGCTACAGTTGTTAAGTGAATCACAGCAGTTGTTAGTAAGGCGGTTGTTAAATGAATCTGGCTTCCCCACTGACTGCTTGTCAGAAGATTGCAAAAGGTGATCACGTGGCCCTGGGACACTGCAAATGTTAGAAATACATGCCAGTTGCCAAGCATCCGAATGTTGATCATATAACCATGGGATTTTTGCACGTGGTCATAAGTAAGAAAAACAGCTGTATGTCACTTTTTTCAGTGATGTAACTTTGAACAGTTATTAAACAAATGGCTATAAGTTGAGGACTGCCTGTAGAGTCTTCTCAATTTCTACCATATGTCCCTCAAAGATCATAGGATGTCTATGGTTTTTTCTGGAGGTTACATGTGCCAGTATATTCCACCCATTTCCTTCTCATTACTTCATGTGGCAGAGGCAATACTGAAGGATTATGACCACTTGAAAACATGAGGTGTGAAAAGATAATTTAGGCTTGTAACTTTACACATCACATTAAACAATGATTTATGTAGCATAGTGGCTGGATTCATGTAATGCATTATGCCAAAATTAAATATTTATTACATTGATATGCTGCCCAACTGACAGTGATTCTGGGCAGCTTTCAGTTGTTATAATTTAGGATATTGTTAGGAGCAATCTACTCTATTAATTTGATGAGAAAACTAGTTGATGAGACTAACTTTTCCCTTTTTTTTTTCCCAGGTCTTGTTAATCAGGAAACAAAAAGGTGATTCAAAAACTAATGTTGGAAAGAAAAAGAGATTCCTAATCCTCTTCCTACATTTAACATCATGACCCGGCATAGTAAATATCTGCTTCAATTATTCCAGTCTAATTGGAATTCTAAATGAGTAATCCTGTTTGCTTATCTCTGATTCCCCCTTTTTTCTCTTTTGCAGAACAGAAAAAATCCAGCAAGAAATCCAAACATAGCAAGGTAAGACAGAATCTTGAAAAAAAATGAGTTTTTGTGGTAGAGGTGACAGTGGGAATTGATGGGAGAGCAAGGCAAGCGCCTTTGAATTTGATAGTGGAATGGTTGCTGGTTACATTAGTGAAGCAGAATTGTTTTAAACGTAAGACACAGGGTTTGGGTGATGAATCAAAATGTAACCCAAGTATCATGCAAGCTGCCAATGATATGTTACCTTCCACCCATAATTCGTGTTTTTCCTATTAGAGTATCAATTCTGCTGTAAGTAGCTTTCAAATAAGGCAGACTTGTCAAACACAGGGCCCGGGGGCCAGATGCGGCCCGCGAAGTGGTTTCATGTGGGCCGCAAAGCCATCCTGGAAACAGTGAGGGAACGGCCCCCGCTGCCTTGGTCTTGGCCCTGGCTGCGTTTCTTGCCTGTTTTTCTCCCTCCGTCATCTCAAATATTTTCCCACCACTCTGTACTTAAGGAAGGAAGGAAGGAAGGAAGGAAGGAAGGAAGGAAGGAAGGAAGGAAGGAAGGAAGGAAGGAAGGAAAGGGGGAGAGGGAGGGTCTGAGGGAAGTCCTGCCTTAGTCTGGTCCTGCTGCCCTTTCACCATCCCCTTGCCCCCTCCTCCTGGCCTATCCTCGGGTCTCCCATCCTATTGCTAAGGAAGCTTTGGATACAAAGCCTGTTCTTCTCCCATGGAGAGGGAATGGGCCTCCCTCTGACTTTGCCCTCGTACCCATCATGAGCAACCTGGCTAAGGAGAGCAAGCACAGCAGCAGCAGCCTTGAGGAGGAGGTAATTGCAGCTGGGCGCTTCCTTGGGGAATTGTGGCTGGGCTTGGTACCATGGGTGCTTGAGGGCCAGGCTGGGCATTTGACCTCTGCTGCCCAGGGCTCCGGGCAGCCCCCCCCACATGGCCTGAGAGGAACGGTGAGGCTCCTCCAGTGGACCATGCCTTGGCACTTGCCCTGGTCCCACCCCCTTCTGCCAGAGACCCTCAGATCTGTCCCACTCCTACCCAGGCCCCCACAGGCACCCTTGATGCGAATGATGTAGAGCTGACCACGCCCACCCAGTAAGCCACACCCACTCCACGCCCACCCAGTAGGCCGCATCCACCCTGGCCACACCCCCCCCAAGGGCAACCGCAGTGCTGATGCGGCCCTCAATGAAATTGAGTTTGACACCCCTGAGATAAGGAAATAACACCCCTGAGATAAGTTATTCTTTAGCAAAGGGAAAAGGGTCAAAAGATGATCAGCGGGAAAGGCAAGGATCTAGTATTGTTGTTCTCAGAGGTGATGAATATATGTAGCTTTATGTCTGCAATCGAATCCAGTGCAGTCTTTTTTCCTCTCATAGAAAAAAAAGGATACAAAACCACACAGGAAAAAAGATTCAGGAGTACCTCAACTGTCACGCTTCAAAGAACATGTCAAAAAGGAACTGGCCCTAAGGCAGAAAAGGGTAAGGTTAACCACGTGGGAGAACAGAGGCAAAGGTGGGATTTTTAGGTACCTGAATTAATTTCCCTGCTCAGGGCTATGGAGTTTGGGATGGCATAGGAGTGATACCCATTACTGGAGCTATGAGACCGGTGCACCAGGGTTGCTAGCACCCCCTTAGCTGAAGATTGTGTCCATCTAACCAGGTGAAAGAAATGCAGGAGCGGCAACAAACGGCACGACAAAAGGAAATCAGCCGCTTTCGGAGCCTGGAAGGGTTGCAGAAGGATGCCTTGCACAGACAGCAGCTCTTTGAGCAGAAGGTAGCGAATCTAAGCTGGTAATCTTCCCTCATGGCACATATACCCAATCCAGTTGCAGGAAGTCTGGTTTGTCTATGCATCTTTGATAGAAGTTTTGATTGTCCCCTTCTTCTGGCTGTTCTTTTAAGCAGCTCAAATATATTGGTAGAGATATTCTGTACATTTCTGTAGCTGGTTAGACAAATGCTTATTTAAGTAGGAAAGAAGTACATGAAAATAACTATGAGGACCCCAGTTTTAGTTCTGGATTGATTTTTTTATTATTTACACAGGATTTCTCACAAAGCGGACTACTGCAGGTCTATTTGGTGACACATCCAGACACGCTCGATAGGATTCAGTTCTTGGCACATATCAATGGGATTATAGCCTTAAGTGAATGAATTGTGTTGCAACTTTCTTCTCATTCGTTTTTACAAAAAGCCCAATACCAATTATTTCTACAAAAAGGCATAAAGCAAATCAGTTACTGAGTGGAAATTTCCATCTCTTGTCTGGCTATCCCACCCCTACTCCAAAAAGAAAATTTTTCAAGGTGCCGAAGGGCTATGAGTTGGCTGTTGCTAAGTTACAACAGACATCATAGGAGGAGAACTGTATTGGTCTAAGGTGACAAAAAAATTACTCTGACAACATCTTTTCCGATTGACAACTTTGATTAAAAGGCATAAGCTTTTGTGAACTTCATCAGATGCATAGAGTGACTAGACATGTCTTTTAATCAAAGTAGTTAGTCTGAAAAAGTGTCATCAGATTTCTAATTTTAAGTTAGAGCACGTCTTCACCCCACTTTAAGCCAGAGGTGGAATTGGTTTAAAAATGGCAATGAGTTAATTTAGTAATGATTCTTACTCATACAATGCATATAATATGCTTAACAATTCAAAACTAGTGATATTTTAGAATATCATGACATTTTAAAATTGCTGGTTGGGGTTTTTTTTTCATGTTTCCTTTTGTACTTACTCATCTATGTTTTTCAAAGAATTTAATAAGAAAGAAATAATGATGAATGGCTTGCTTGTCTGTAAACTTTGTCTAAGAGAACAGCCTGGAGTTCCAGATCAATTAAAAAAAAAAAGCATATCAAGAAAGCAGTAGATAGGAAAGCATGATATTTCAAGGAGAGATTTCAAAATTCACAGTGTGCAAAGAACAGATATATTTTATGGGGGATGATTAAATAAATAGTTCTGTTTTCTAAATAACTTTAAAATGGTGTTCTTGGAGAACAGAGTATTGCATTTTAAAAGGCCCTTATGGAAGATTCTATTCCGTCTATGTACAACTTGAGTAGAAATGCCTCCCCAAATAGGAAATGAATTTCTCGTACAGCAGCAATCAAATAATAGCTATTTTCTAGGCAGCAGTATAAGTAGAAATGCAGCTAGGATGTACTATCTCACATTATGAAATTAAGGATACCGTACCTATTCTATTTTCCAGCAGTTGGAAAGCACGCAAATGCGAGTAGATAAATGGGTACCACTTCAGTGGGAAGGTAACAGCTTTCCATGCGCCTTAGCACATAGACACGCCAGGTCACATGACCATGGAAGCATCTTTGGACCATGCTGGCTCCTTCGGCTAGGAAACAGAGATGAGCACCACCCTCTAGAATCAGACACAACTGGACAGGGGAAATCTTTACCTTTTACCTATTTTCTAACTATGAGAACCTTTTCTGTGCCATCTGTCTTGTGGAACTTTAATTCCATCCCTTTGGCCATGTGAATAATCTTCTTCTTCCCACAGGAGATGGATCTGAAGCAATTGGCCAAACATGCCCTACTGGAAAAAGACAGCTCTTGCAAGGCGTATTACAAAGAGTTCAGGAAGGTCAGTGAAGATGAATGTGACGATACTTTTAGCACCAAGAAAAATAGAGCTGTGCATGGTGAGGCTTCTGTTGGGTTGGGTTGGGTTGGATCAGTGTTGGATACTCCAGTTCTTTGCTCTCTCCAGGTAATTGAAGCAGCCGATGTGATCTTGGAAGTCCTTGATGCTCGGGATCCTCAAGGTTGCCGATGCCCCCAGGTTGAAGAAGCAGTGGTGCAGGCTGGAACCGACAAGAGATTGGTTTTGGTGTTGAATAAAATAGGTAAGTAGCAAGACTAGGTTCTTTGTGGAAAGGAAGTGAAGCCATATGTGATTCAAGAATACGAGATTAGACCTTTTCNTTAGACCTTTTCTTATTAAGGGTTTCTCTCTACAGATTCAAATTCTGCACCGAAGGCATCTGGGAAATATACTTGAAATAAAGTGTTGAATTACATTGGCTTATTTTGCAGTTACTTTGCTTCAATTCAGGAATCGTTGCAATCATGACTTAATTCAGGGTTTGGGTGGTAGAGGGTAGAGTGGGGGGAAAATCACTCAAAAGTTTGCTAGATACTGCATTTGGCCTCAACTAACTGTAGAAGATTTTTTTTGTTGCTTTTATGCTTTTTGTTCATGGTTCATTCATTCACAATGACAGTTAAGATAAGTGACCAGATATCGATTGTCTTTCCATGATTATTGGATAAGTGACTTGGATATTCTAGTCCACATTAATAGTATTGACTCTTAAGTAGAAGATGGTCATGATTATTTTGAAATCAGTTTGTGTCTGGGGAATTGAGGATGTTATTGCTTAGCCTTCTGGGTGATCTATCTGCAGAGCATGAAAGGATTACAATTTTCAAACACACAAGATTTTGAAAGGTAACTTGTGTACCTTTGGGATACAAAAGAGCAGGTGTGGCCCCAGTGAACTGGTAGCAAAGTGATTTTTTTTTTAAGGACACCTTCATTTTCTCAATCTATTCCTGATCCAGATCTGGTATCTAAAGAGATTGTTGCAAAATGGCTGAAGTATCTGAGAAATGAATTTCCTACAGTGGCCTTTAAATCCTCCACTCAGCAACAGAGCAAAAACCTGGTAAGTGATGCATGGCTGCAATGAATTAATGACATTTTACATTTTTTATTGGAGGTCACTTTGAGAATGGGATGGAAATGGGCAATGTGCTACTTATTACACCCCTTGACAGTGCCCATGCATCTCCAAAATTAAATTAAAAACTCCTGACATGTAGCAAGACCTCCTGCAAGAATGTGAAACTCACATAAAACTGCCGAAACCTAGCAAGATTTCTGCATTGGTGATTTCTGCATTAGCCCAGATCTTTGGGGGTTTAGAAGTCTTGTGAAAGTCTAGCTGTTAAGTATTTGTTTTATGAAATTTATACTAAGCAAATATTAATGTATTTTAATGTTATATTTCATTTTCCTTTTATAGAGTGTAAGGTATATTGGTTTGGCCCTTCTTTTGAATGTGACCTGTTTGTGGCCCCTCCCTTGGAGTTGGCTATTGTAGAAGACGTTATGGGGCCCACCTTTTATTCAGAGTAGATTTGGCTATGATGGCAGTCCAATACCTGGTCTTTATACAGTGAGATTTAGATGGCAGAAAGAGATTGGTGGGTTTTGGGAGATGGGAAACACTGATTAAGATGTTTGAAAACAAAGTGGATGATAATCGGGTTTTTTTTTTTTAAATGGATTTTTTAAATTTAAATCTGATTTTTTTTATCAAAGTTATTTTAATAAAATGCTTTTGGAGTAAAAATCTATCTAAATATACTTTTCTATTTAAGATTCATTAATAATTTAGTTTATTCAGCATGAAATGGAGCTTAGTTATGTAGCATGGGGCTGTATATTCTGCAATATTTACATTTTTGGTAAACTCATTCAATGAATCCAAGCTCTGCAAGCCGAGATAACATGCACTGCATTGATGCATTCACACAATTTCACCGTAACCATGAGATAAATCATAAAACAAATTTCAGGAATATTCCTTTATCCCATTGTTTTGCAAATCTATGTGCACTACAAACTGTATGATTGTTTGAAGAGAAATGCATCTGTAACAGGCTCTAAGTGTTTTAATTAAATAAAAGAATTTGACTAGTTCTCCAACTATGTGTGATTAACCTGTTAACCTAAAATCGGTTCTGATATCGCTGTTTTACTAACCTGACAGCTTATTATTCTAAATAGGAAACCTTCATTTTGTTTGCAAATAATAATATTAAAGATTTTAACTACCAGCAAGAATGAGTCCTTACATTTAAAGAGCACCTGTCATTTCAGATCCATCATGGCAGCGCCTGTTAGCGGGCATCCACTCACCTGCCCGCCACATCCCTCACCTTGTTGTGTCACTGCCGCATCACCAGCCGTCCCATTAAAGTGAGTGGGACTGTCGGTGAGTCAACAGCGGGTCAGAGGAGGAGCCGCTGCGGGACAGAGATGACAGTTGCTCTTTAAAAATTATGATTTAAATCGAGTTGATTTAAATCAAGCCTTTTTACTACCGTAGTGATTTAAATCATGATTTAAATTGTGGTTTAAATCAACTTGATTTAAATCAGATCCACCCTGTTTGAAAAAGATTTTATAATATTTGGGAACATTTTATGATTGGTACATCAAAAGTAAGAGCCGGGGGCATTAAGCAATAATTCCTTTCTCCCCTTTAGCAACAGAGCCATGTCCCAGTAACCCGAGCATCAAGTGATTTGCTCGGCAGTGCAGCCTGTGTTGGGGCAGATTGCCTCATGAAGGTGCTTGCAAACTATTGCCGGAATCAGGATGTCAGAACAACAATCACCGTTGGAGTTGTGGGTATGTAGCCTGCCTCTATTTGAGGGGTGGACAAAGTGAAAGAACAGCTTTCTTCAGCGTGACAGCTTCCAAAATGAGGAAGCTGCAACTCCTGGAATTCCTGCATATGCTGGGAATTCTGGGAGTTGCAGTCACAGGATACCTGAAGTATGCCAAATGGGGGAAAGTTAGCTTACTGTCGTCCTTGCCTTGTCTGTCTCCAGCTGACTTGATAGGGTAAATTGGGAAATGTTCTCCATTTTTACTTTGCAGTAGCTAGATAGAATCCTAGCAGCTATCTATCCAATGTAGGAGGGTCCTTTGGCCTTGGATGAAACCCAGTGGCCCTTCTGTCATTCTGGGAGTTGAAGCCAAGAGATAGCTGGGCCTGTAATTCAAACAGGGAAGAATTCTAGCTGGGGAAGTGGTGTTGCCCACAAATAGTATTAGCAATAGCACTTAGACCGAGTGGTTCTCAACCTTTTTAATGCTGCGACCCCAACCGGTCGTAAGTCGAGGACTAAACCGGTCGTAAGTCGAGGACTAAACCGGTCGTAAGTCGAGGACTAAACCGGTCGTAAGTCGAGGACTACCCAACCGGTCGTAAGTCGAGGACTTTCCCTGCCCGGGAGCGCCGCGCATGCGTGGTTCCGCCCCCTGCGCCGGCCGAGGCATAGCTGGCAAGTGGCAGAGACGGAGCAGGCCGACCACCAGCTGGCCCAGCCCAAGGGAGGTAAGGCACCCGCCGGANAGTCGAGGACTAAACCGGTCGTAAGTCGAGGACTACCCAACCGGTCGTAAGTCGAGGACTTTCCCTGCCCGGGAGCGCCGCGCATGCGTGGTTCCGCCCCCTGCGCCGGCCGAGGCATAGCTGGCAAGTGGCAGAGACGGAGCAGGCCGACCACCAGCTGGCCCAGCCCAAGGGAGGTAAGGCACCCGCCGGAAAAGGGAAAAAAAATGGCGGACAGCCTTGCTTGGCGACCCCCATGAAATGGTCGATCGACCCCAAATGGGGCCCCGACCCACAGGTTGAGAACCACTGACTTAGACTTATATACCGCTTCATAGTGCTCTATAGCCCTCTCTTAGTGGTTTACAGAGTCCCCCAACAATCTGGGTGCTCATTTTACCGATCTCAGACTCAACCTTTAGCCGCTCAGAATCAAACTCCTGGAGTGAGCAGTGAATAAGCCTGCAATACTGCATTCTAACCACTGTACTACCAGGGCTCTTTTACCATGAGAGGAAAGAAAGAGGCTCGTGAGGGAAGATTTAAGATCCCAGGGTCCTCAGCTTCCTTGGAACCTTTACACCAGGCTTCACCAACTACAGAGATTGATGATTTGAAGTTTACAGGCCTTGGAATTGCCCGTTTTGGGGAAGCTTCTTTTAGGTAGTTGGTGATGATAGATGTGAATCCTAACAGCTTTTCTTCTACTTTTTAGTCCAGAGGAAAAAGATGGTGGGAGTTATTGGTAATGCTGTCTTTTCTTGTGTAGAATGCAAAAGAAACAGCTTAGTGGAAGGTAGCAGTGACTTGTGTGGGAGCAATCGCCAGAAAGGAAATGTGCTTGCTGATGGGTTGCCTGTCTCTATGTCCCTGACTCCAGGCTTCCCAAATGTTGGCAAAAGCAGCTTGATCAACAGCTTGAAGAGGAGCCGAGCTTGCAATACTGGTGCCACTCCTGGCATCACCAAGTATGTGCCCAAGCCGAGGTGCTAATTAGAAGTGAGGCATCAGATCTGAGGTGCTGGGTAGTCAACCGAGTTGTTCCCCCTTTTTTTCATTTTAAATCAAGGAAGGCTATGGGAGGCCTGTGGTCCTGCTTTGGAGATATCAAAATTCACAGATTCCTTTATTATTTATCTCCCAGTCATAGGAAAGAGAGTTTTTCCTTTGATAACATTCTGCGGAACTGGATGTACTTGGCATGAGTGATAGTACCTAGAATTATTTAGTTGTATTAGCATATAATTTGGGGCTTGGTAGGCCAGAGGAGGTTTGGGACTGTAAAATAAAAAGCACTCTCTTCTGTACAAGACACAGAGTACTTTGCTCACTACTTTATGTATTATTCTAATCCATAAGATGACTTAATTTGTGTTTATTCATCAGTATTTTGGATGAGCCTAACCCTTACCAGCTGTAAATTATACTTTTTGTCTTAGAACTTGTGAATTGAACCAGCAGTGTGGTTGAATACATAACTCATGATAATGAAATAATGATATTTAGCAGTGGCTAAATATCATATGTGAGCTTAGCCACTTGATAAAGACACTGAAGATAAACATTCCAGGAAGGCAGGGGCATTACATAAGAACTGTTGTGAGAAAGAAATGATCTGTCTTCCTAGAAGTCTAAAATTTTAATTTCTGGTCAGGTTGTTTTAGTTTTTGGACAACAAAGGAATATAAAACGACGTTTTAGAAAATTAACTTTATAGGTGGAAAGGCTGGCATTTGAAGTGATTGCTCCCATTTATTTATCCCTCCCTCCCCTCCCCCCCCTTAGGTCTCTGCAAGAAGTGCAGCTGGACAAGCACATAAAACTCTTAGATTGTCCAGGGATTGTCATGGCTTCTCCCACTTCAGATGCTGCCATGATTCTGCGAAACTGCATCAGAATAGAACAACTGGCAGATCCCGTGAGTCCAGTGGAGGCCATCTTGAAACGATGCAACAAGCAGCAGGTATGAGTGATCTTGAAAGAATGAACAGAGCATGTGGAGGTGAGATAACTGGAAGATTACGAAGGTGGAGCTTGAGAATCCCAAGCTTTTTTCAGAGACTACAAAAAAGTTATAGCAAAAATATTGGTTCTGAGATAAAGAACTATAAATCTAAAGAATTTTAATGGTGCTAATTTGGATGAAGCTCCTTTTCCCCTTGAAATCACATTTTAAAAGGATGAATCTGCTTGATAAATCTGCTTGCTAAATGACATGTCTTCAAAAGGACTTTGGCCAAGGATCCTAATTTGGGTTCTTTAAATTGTCACCCTTTGGCTAGATTCACACAAGACTCTACACTAATACATGGTTGTTTGGTTTGTGGTTTGGTATGTTGGGCAATCTCAGGCAGAGGAGTTAATTCACTAAACCATGGTTCAGTTAGACCTGAAGCAACATAGCTTTAAATTGCTATTGGTGTTGCTTTTGCTGCAAAATCTGATCCTGCCCATTATTTGGGAGTTTAAAAAAAAAAACTAGCAGAAGGCATTAAGTGGATCATTCAACATGTTTAATTGGGCAACCCTTTTAAGGAATGTGCATGTTATTGGCATTTTAATACAAGTGCTTACAAAAGATATGTGGCAGATAACAATTTAGCAGAGGCATGCTCCTTTCACATAGTAGGACATGTTGTTCTTGTGGCATGTACAAGAGCTAAGTTTTTCTTAACAACAATAATAATAACAACAAGTTGGAAGGTACCTTGGAGGTCATCTAGTCCAACCCCCTGCTCAGGCAGGAAACCCTATACCATTTCAAATGGTTGTCCAGTCTCTTCTTAAAAACTTCCAGTGTTGGAACATTCACAGCTTCTGGAGGCAGGTTGTTCCACTGGTTAATTGTTCTAACTGTCAGGAAGTTTCTCCTTAGTTCTAGATTGCTTCTCACTTTGGTTAGTTTCCATCTGTTGCTTCTTGTCCTGCCTTCAGGTTTCTTCAATACATATGTAGCTTTATACATAATTTGGAGGTTTTTAAATGTATCAGAAAGTTTTCGCCCACTGAAATGTGTACTTGAAATGGATATTATTCAGTTCTACTTGTGCACTCAGGAGTCAGCTTCACTGTACTCACGGTACTTCTTCCAAAGTAAACTGCAGCCTCAGTTGACCACCCTGTTTTAAAAATGAGTTGCAAATAATTAAACTCTAATTCCGTTTGGGCTGATTTGGTTTTGGCAGTTTTCAAAAATCACCCATTGAAATTTTACAGCACTTCTGAAATGCAATTTCTTTCCAATATCTGGGCAGAGGGAAGAAGAGGGTATCATCACATTGTTGCCCTGCCCAGTGCAATCTTTGCCTGATAACTAAATAATAAGTCCAGCTGTTAAAAACCTGACCTCTCTCTTGAGATGTAGGTAAATAGAATTGGTGGGTTGGGTAAGAAAACTTTAATCAAGAAAACTTCTAATTCTCATCTCTTTCTCCTCCTTAAATTTCCTCTTCCTAAAGATTATGCAGCATTTCAGCGTGCCAGATTTTCAGAACACCACGGAGTTCCTGGCATATCTGGCCAAGCGGCAGGGCAAGCTGAAAAAAGGAGGAATACCAGACCATGAGAAGGCTGCCAAAGCCGTGCTCAATGACTGGACTAGGTGAGTGGAAGATAGGACCTTTTTAAAAAAAAGAACAAAGTTCTAGGGCTTTTTGCAGGAACTGTCTTTGATGTAAGCCTCTTTCTTCCTTTCTCTTTGTCTTACTCACCTGGCAGCTCTAATTCAAGTGGGAATTGAAATCAGAGAAAGAAGAAAATGATAGGAATTACAGGAATAGTTCAATATGGTATTTTGGGGGAGTGGGCGGTAGGAAGCTTTTCCTATAAAGCTTGGGTCAACAACATGGCCATCCTTTCCCCACGATGCCCCAACATTTAATTTATGCAGTAGTCAAAACCTTGCCCAGGGTCATGCAACTTGGGCCACTCTCTGTCTATCTCGGGTTTGTGGCCTGAAAAGTTATCGATCCTCGCTATAAAACCTGCACTCTGTGAGAGAGGTGGGCGGTCTCTAAATATGGTGAATAACTATTGTACTTTTGTTTCTTCTAGTGGAAAAATCAGCTATTTCACACATCCGCCTGAGACACACACACTTCCTACTCACATCAGTGCTGAGATTGTGACGGAGATGGGCAAAGCCTTTGATTTTGAGGCATTGGAGCAGGAGAATGAGAAGGCTTTGGCTAGTAAGTGGTTGGGAAAACGGGACTGCTTTCCACAAGATTTGGCCGCCATAGATGTTTGTTTTGCCAATCTTTCCTTTGACCAACAGGAGTTTGATATTCAGCCCAACAGCTGTTTTTATAACACAATACATGCCATCCCTTCTGCAAGAGGCTGACAAAAATGGAGAACATTCTGTAGCCTCCGCCGGTCTCAGATATGTCTATTCTGCAATTCAGCATAATTCTCTGCATTCTTTCAAGAACAGAGTACCTGTCCAATTATGTAATAATGCTGTGGCAATATAATTATAAAAAGCTGCAGTGTGTGAGGTGTTCTGATATATCGGTTACTGGGATCCTCTTCAAACAGCTATTTCTTTCCCATCATTTCTCCTTCCCTTTTGTAAAAGCTGTTGTGCCTTTCTCAGTTCTCTCCAACCTTCCTCTATCTTCTTCTTTTTCTTTGATTTGTTAGAATAGGTATAACTGAACATAGAATCTC